ACAGACAGACAGACAGACAGACAGACAGACAGACAGACAGACAGACAGACAGACAAACCGACAGACAGACAGGCAGACAGATAGGAAGATAGACAAACAGATAGACAGGCAGACAGACAGACAGAAGGACAGACAGACAGACAGACAGACAGACAGACAGACAGACAGAAACAGGGACAGACAAACCGACAGACAGGCAGGCGGACAGACAAACAGACAGACAGACAGACAAGACTTGAACCTGTGGCGTGGAACAGGCCACATAATAATAACCTACCCAAATTCACAGCCTGGCTCTGGAGACACCGCGACACGCTCGTAGAGACTGTACATATTCCGGCTCATGAAAGGTTCTAAATCCTCTTTTGCTGAAAGTCCACCACAGGAACTCCGTGACAAGTATCCCCCTCTCCCCCCAAACATCCCACACTGTCTTCGGACGCTACTGGAATGGATTTTATCCGGGGAAGACACTCGCTGCGATTTACTCGATGGCGTTGCCGTAACACAAGGTTTGCCCCTTTTCTTGTTGGTTAATCGAGCCTTTACAGAAGCATCCAGTCTCTTGAACACTGACTTCACTGTGCCGTGCAGCCAATCCATCGTGAGTAAAAGAATACAGCGTTTACACAAACTACGACAATGTAGCTCTTGCTCGAGATTATATCCTTTCTCCTTACGTCATACGTTGTTGTAAGTAGTTCCGGTTGATCGACGCCAAATAAATATGCGTTCGTTCACCACCAACTGATTTTTATGAAATGTGAAATAACAAAACGCGCCGCGACTCTTATCAGTCTCTCGGCAGTATTCCCACCTGCTATTTGTGTTAAGAGTCTTTGTTATCTTGGCGAGCCAGCATATTCATGCTTTCAAGTGATGAATGTCGAATCAATTATATTAGTTGGGACAAAGTGCACCGCGTGGTAAGTAGGACGCACAGCACAGACAACCATTAATTACAAACGGGAAAGAAAATTCAGCTAGATCTAGCTGTTGCTTCACTTGACTGATGTTTTTGCTTTATTGAAAACACAGACAACTTTGAAATGTTGGTTTTGATTTTTGGTTAAAAAATATCTTTCCATTTTGGTTCTTTTTTGAGCATGTTTAACGTCCAACTGGTTTCAATAGATTAATTAAAAGGCAGCACGCTTGTTCTAATACTAATAGACGAAGAACGAATGCAGAGAGAAAGCAGGTGATTGGCGGGTGCTCGGGTGTGTTTTGCTTCTGTTTTTCTTATCAAACATCTATCGTCCTGACGTCTCCCTATTCTTTTTGTTTGTCTGTTGCTCTCTTGTAAGACGTATAATCTTCGGCACATATTATATGACCTAACTAAGTATTTTCAGTCGGGTAGGAATTAATTTTTGAATTTTGTCTGAATGGCGGCCGAAGCTTACTCTCGTCGATTTTAGGACAATCATGGGATCTTTAGCGTGCACAACTTGCACACGGGACCTCCAAAAAATTGTTTCGCCCTCATCCGAGAAGACTAGGTGTTAGATCTTTAAAAAACTTACGATCAGAGGGTGTGGCTAAAAGACAGAAGAAAGAAGGAGCCCAGGAATAGCAGTAGAATGGTTACAGAAAGAGTCAGTAATCCAGAAGAAGGGGCAAAAAGGGG